GGGAAAATTCGATTGTTGGGAAATAATAATGAACGTCCCACTTAAGGGATGAGATTTATTATATTGTGAAAATTACCGATACATTTCGATTTTATAGTAAACTATAATCTGGTGGTGTAATTTGTCAGACAGGAAACACTAAAATATGGTATTCAATTTATGCTAAATTTGAGAGATATATTTTATGATGACTATAAATAACGTCAATAGATCTTAGGATTGTAGAGGTTAATAATCTCAGTAGGGAATTTGATTTTAGTTTTCAATAATTGGGAGCACTCGATGTTATCCAGCAGGAATGTTGGAAAGATAACTGCAACATTCTAAACGGAATGCTTACACAACCTAGGTGGAAGTAACTCAAGTTTAGAACTTTTGGGGCCATAATCCTTAAATGAATCATTTGACAATCATATTTTCATCAAATTAATTTTTTGGTCTACTGGAAATGTTCAATACATTTCTGATCTATTGATTAAGGGCAATCGACCTTTTTGCAATGGGGCGAAATACTGAATTAAGGCTATTGGCGGCATACATTTTAAGGTCACACAAATAAGATGAAGAGTACAAAGCGCGAATCTGATTCTTAATTTTACAAATTAATTAAAGCGAGTTAGAATATGGTGTTTAAAAGGCCAATAATTACCCCAATTTTAAAGGATATTAACGTTTCAAGTAAAAAGGTAACTAAGGTAACCCATTATGATGCAAACGTCATGTCTTATCTTTGCACTATGATCTAAAGGGCCCCATTCACATGCGGATATGTACGGCGGATCTGTACGGCGTACAGATCCGTGTTGAGCTACACACAGGCGGATATGACTGTACACAGATCACGGACAAATCTCAATAGACAAGCAGGCGGCGTTCTGTCGCTATTTCAGTTCTGTAGTAATAGCCCTGGGTTATGTTCTTTTGAATGCTGTGGTAATTGGTATGGATCATAAGGAGAAACTCACAATAACTGGAGGAGGAGGTTTTATTTGAAGATACGAAAAAAAGAGACTATGGTCAAAACAGTGGTTCCTGAAACGAAAAAAATACTCTCATATGACTTTACTTAGAGATTTGGAAACGCCTCATGATTTGCACAATTTTTTGCGCATGGACAATGAGAGATTTGAAACTATTAAAATATGTTCGCCCAGTTATTGAGAGGAATGATACTCATATGAGGCAGTTACCAGTAGAGAGCGATTAATTGCCACGCTACAGTACTTAGCAACTTGAAGGAATTTTGAAGACCTAAAATTCAGTTGTGCAATCTCCCCTCAGCTTCTCGGGAAAATTATACCTGAAACTTTCAAATAAGCCACCAGCCTTGGCAGAATATGCTCGGAAATCTTTACCAGTATTTAAATTGTTCCCCAAAAATGTGCATTTTGTTCTGGAATGTTAATATCAACGTAGTCTTCAAATTTTACTTTTATAATATCCCCAAAAGGTAACTGATCGGATTGTATTTGACTAACAGTTTCACCAACAGTTCAGTGTTGTTCCGCAATTTTGCTTAAACATTACCCAAAAGCCTGCATTATATTCAAAGTAATTTAAACAAAATATTTTTTTAAATGACTGTTTAATTGGAGTAGGATTAGTCGCATTTCCATTTTGATTTCTTAAATTTCCAAACATATTTTCAAGAAGTTCCTATTTTTTGATCCTATGTCCGGCAAACAAATCCGTTAAACGACCACACACGTGCGTATTTGTCGGGCTCGCTGTCCGTGCTCGTCGTCCTGATCGACGGATGGCGAGCAGGATATGTACGCCGAACACGCGGATACACACATACGAATTGATACGGATCTGTCCCGCGTACATGTCCGCCGTACAGATCCGCCGTACATATCCGCATGTGAATGGGGCCTTTAAGTCTTTGCACCAATTGTCAACTTACAACTTCTTAGGAGGAAGTAGTTATACCACAGATTTAAGTTATACCATTTAATCCATGTTGTATATACTCGTACATAAGGAGGCTCTGGAGGAAAATGTAAAGAGAAACTTAAAAGGAAAATGGATTTTAGGAAAAACTTAATAGCACTTTGAGAAGAATATGAAAGAAATTTGGTGAAAACTGAAGAAAAACTGGAAGACAGAGTAAAGCGTCTTACGAGGAAATTGAGAAATCCAGGGAGTACGAAAGGAATTTTAGAGGAACTTGAAAAGGATTAGAGAAACCATTTCAGGTAAAATTAAAGGAAAGTTGAAGAAAATACAAGAACCTTATTAGTGATTGTTTGAGCTGTAAATCACTAAAGATCTTATTAATTTTGACGAAATTTTAAGATTTTAACATACCATATACCATAAATTCATTTGTTTAAACAAGCAATCTTACTTGTTATTGGTGAATGGGTGTAAGAATGTTTTACGTTTTTGATATTGATATTCCTGCTTTAAATTTCATTTAAGTAACTTTTTGATTCTTACTCTTGTGTATATTTGGTCTTCTTACGCCATCTAGGTATTTCCTTTATAATCTAGTTTAAAAATGTAAATTATTCTTGTAGTAGAGTTCTTTTACTTAGTGCTTTATTTTTGCCACTAGAGGACATCCAAGTGTTATAGATTTCTTATTACAATAGTTTTTTGCTTCGCCGCCCGAGATCGTGCAGATGTTTTCCGCGGTACCTCTAATTCTACCCCTTTATAAATTATATCTGGCCTACGAGTTGTGAAGATTAGTTACATGTAAATTTTCTATTGGTGTTTATACTGATTACTGAACGTGCCCTTTTGAGCTTACACAAGGTTGCAACCTGAAGTTCAAAAGTAAACTTTTTTAATTTTCGACGACTGATTGATATAACGTTTGATTCGAGGTTTGATTACACACTGGCTTTCGATACAATCGAATTGTAATTATTACGATTATCATATTCATTTAACGATTATAGCTTCGTTGTTTTTTGTGGAAGACTGGTTTGATATTAATTGGTTTTGTATACCCTAGCTTCAGAAACGTCTCAATCTGTGATAACCTGCAGATTTTTTTTGACAGGAAGTTTTTTCTGCACCTTCAATGAACTCGTCCTTGTTTCAGGCATTAATCCAGAGGATAAACCTCGGTTAATCGCATTCCTATAAGAATCCACAGTCTACTTCCCTCTTGTTTGACGCTTTGTCCAAAGTTAACCCGCGATGTATCAAAGTTACAGATGTTATAATCTTCATTTCGATACTTCCGGATTTGTCCAAGATAATGGGTGCTAATTTTATGACAATAAATTACAATAACTTTCTCCCTTAGGTGGTTTTTTGGTTGTAATTATCCTGTAAGTACTTATTTTGTACCGAATAGGTGTTGAAATGAAACAAATTCTTTACTTAGAAGAGGTAAATTAATTTAAAAAATACTTGACAAGCGTACCCGAAAAAAATTATTGTTTGAGAAGCTCTGCAACTGAACTTTAAGTGTGAATTGCGCGTGGAACTCGCATCATAAACGGTTTTTTTCTAAATTATGTGGGTTTTGGAAAACTTTCGCGACTGGTTGAAAAGAAAGCACTAACCAATAGGAAATTAAGATATCGCAATGTAATTTAATTCGCCACTTTTTTGTTTTGGGTTAAGTAATTAAGAATTATAGTATATAGTCTTCTGGCAGCCAAAGTAATAAACACGTAGCCTAGAAGAACAAAATTAGCGTCGTAATTACGGCAAAAAAGTAGTAGTTCCGGTGTTTCGCTAAACAATTCGAAAGGAACGGTTTTTCCATCGCGATTTAAATACGTTCAAGTGGCATGCATTTTCGGGCGAAAGAGGGGATACGAGTAATTAACGTACGAATAAAAAGACCTTCGCCTGATCAAAAGTTAAAGAAATTTCTATTATCGTAAGAATAACCAATCCGGGACAATCTGTTTTTGGAAGAAGATCCGGAAGCTTTTTCTGGTGTGAGATTATTTTAATGTTCAATAGAAAGTCATGTGTTAATCCTGTTTGTGTAACCAAAATTGTTTAGGTACAAAATGAATATCATGGTGTATTTTGTTGTTGCGCAGCTCTAAGGTAAATTAAGAATTTTCAATTCAAAATATATTGGCTAAGTTTTTCTTTTGCAATATAATTATTTAGAATTTCCTAAGGAAATTTGTAAAAAGGTAATGATGGAAATAGAGAGCATCGTAAATGATTAATCAATATATTCAAAATGTTACGGACGTTACGGTAATTTGGTGTTTGATTTGACAAGCAAATTGTTCAATTACTGTAATTAGTGTTCAGATTCGCAATGAACATCTGGAAAAATATAAAGAAACTGGACGTTGAGAATTTCTCTGACATTTGTCAAAGGGTAATTACCCAAATAATGAACTGCATGTGAATTATTTGCTTAACCAAATGATAGTTTGACGAGAATCTACTTAAAAGTGCAAAGGGCAATTAACAATTTACTACAGCCAATAAATGTATATCTAATAAAGTAATTAGCATAATTAAATGTTTTATAACTTCTAATTTGTGGTTGTAGATATCGATTGTTAAGAATATAGGAAATACGTATACAGTGTTCTTTTAGGGATCAGTCTCAAAAAGTGATAATGCAACGTAGATCTACACACTTACCGTTAAATTGCGGTTCTTTCTAAACGAAGCAAACTTTCAATTTTTTGTAATAAATTGCATGCTCGGGGGTAAAGTAGGAGCCATAATAACTAAAAGCGAACAAATAAGGTAGCAGATTATGCATTATCGGTATTAAAGTCTCTTTTAAAGTGTAATGACGTTATTTGCATACAATCGAAGAGTGATGATGTGTGCATAACGGATTACGTCGTGTTTCGTAGAACATGAATGAACGAGGGTGTGAAAATATTTTAACAGAATAGATAGTTTACTCCAAAGCAGACCAGATTTCGATATATCACACAACGTTCGACCGTAAAACTGACACGCAACGGTGGAATATCGTCCCAATCACTACTAATACACCACTAAGTAGTAATAAAATTTACAGCTGGCATGGGGTCCCTTCGCATTAGTATTCATCGCCTGATTTCAAAGCAGGACAGTAAATGACCCTTCCTCTTTTCAATGCGAATTAAATCTAATGACCCAATAAAGACAGGTTACGTCTGAGAGATTATATGGAACATATGCGGCTCGTTATAGAGGCCGTGCGCAATTGAAAATTTGACTTACCGCCCTGCGAAAGGAATTGCGATTCCTGACTAGCGGGACCGGATTCGCCTACCGGAAGTGAATATTCAGCTCTTCTTCTAAGCGTTGCGGAATGCAAAGATGGTCCTCGGGGAGGCACTTCGGGTGGGGCGGGTTCCGGAGGCGATTCTTCACCACCACCTATAATAAAATCAATGAAGCTTGATGATTACCTTTATCGTTTTGGGTAATATAAATGCATAGATGATTGTGTAAATCTGATCGTAGATGTATATTGTATAAAAATGATAATGTATCAACATCCAAAACAGTTCCTTTAAAGGATCGAACCCGGACACCGGATTTACTCATATTTTTTTTACTAATTTTTATGGTAGGTTTTTGTACCACTACCTTTTAATCGTTAGGCTATAGGATAAAATAAGTAAACAACAAATTCGCCTTTAGCTTTTATCCCGCTTTGCTCAGGAGTTAGACTGATTATTTGTCAGCGGAAGGTTGTAGATTAGTACAGAGTGTTAATACAAGTTAGGGCATTTTTTGATACGTAAGTAGTTAAGATGGAATTTTCCATAGGTATGGATGGCTTTCAATTGAAGTTTAGATAATTTAGGGTATCTGATAGATTTTCTGTACGTAGTTAGAGTGCTATGCAACTTTTCACATGTCTTTTACATTTTAAACAGTCGCAGGAAGGTGGTTTTGGAATTCAAATACTATTTTTAGCTACGATGATTGTTGTATACCTACTGCTGTGACCCTAACATTCGGGCCGCATAAAAAATAAATGCAAGGCCCTATGTTGGGCGAGTAAGTAATAATGCTATGTGCCATGTGCACCCAGCCAAAATCAACCATACACAAATCTTAAACCCAACTAGCTCTCCTATTAAAATTTTCCAAATTTCATGGCAAATAATGGCCACGATCAACTGCCTTAAATTTGGTCCAAATATCAACGTCCAACATTGACATTGTTTAGATAGCAATACGATGGGTCGGTTATTTTTGTTTGTTGTATATGGGGGCATATGAAATATGTTAATATTTGTTGAATTTCATGGCAGTGGTATTTTGCCGCTATCTTATTTGAGATAAATGCCAAATGTGATTATTTTTCATGACTACTGAATATTTGAATTTTTATGCTGTATGAAAAATGTTACGGAATGGATCTCGAAACCCGTAACTCTTTATTACAATGACACAGGTCATATCCTAGCTAAAGGTGAAAACACGAAAATAAACACTGAACGGCCTGAACATGCCCTATATACCGGGTGATTCATTAGAAGTGATGATCGCTTGAATTTCGCGCGTAAGGTTTTAGTATTTTTTTGAATTATTAGATTGACGGTTTGAATTTCGTTAGTAATTTTTTTCTGTCATGACTGTCATTTAAGAAACCACTGTCGCCGATAATTGTCGTGTGCCATTTACGGTTTGTTACTTTTTCCATTTTGCACAATTTTTAGAGTTGATGCTTTAAAATATGTAAGAAACATGACTGTGTCTAGTGTTAGTTTATAATTTGTGGTAAAACAGAAGCAGTATTGGTAGATTATAAATAAGTAAACAATTTACTGAAAGAATGATGATACACCACTGCAATTAAATAAATTATCATCAGTTAGTCTTAGTACCAACTTCATAATTTTTTTTATTTGCGGGAAATTCAAATTGTCCTCACTTCTAATGAATCACCCGGTATATTATTGCACTGAGTAAGGTTATGTCTTTGCCAAAATGGCCGGCACCTGAGCTCTATCCATATTCTTCCTACCGTGAGCCCTTGGCGTTAATGGCCGACACCATTACATAACATGACTCCATCTTCGGTGTGGCATTGTTATTAGTTTACAGTTTTTCTCATCTAAGAATCAGGTTTATTAGGATACCGTAGAATGGTGGCGTACAAGCAAGTTTTATATCCAACTACGAAGAGTCGTAGACCCCTCAAACGTATGTAATGTTGAGGTAAGAATTATGCTACCGATTTTAATTGTCTTCAAGTGAACACTTAATTGGGTGTTTAATGGGTCAAAGAACGTACGCTATGGCAGAAACCCAAGTGGTTGATTCGATCAACCCCTTTTTAAGAACTGGTTCAAAAGGGTTGCTCTTCCTTGTTTAAACTTTTCCTCCTAGTTGCGGAATTCAGTACTATGACAATACGTAAATGAAACTTGAAGTATTTTTTCACAAGATGACACCTCAATTACATGTCTCCTCAATAAACTTCTGTATCTAAGAGATGTCTTTTTGTAACCACCTTGTATTTATATCTGTTTATGTGGAATATATAAATACAAGATAATAAAAAAATCAATCAATATGAATCATTTGTTTCATTGGGTTTAAGATAACGCAAACTTAATGTAAATAGCAGGTATAGTTGAATGTAATGGATGTTGCAAATTCAACATCTTAACACTACAGTCAGCGTGTGCCTCTTTTGGCCCATTTCTGATAGTAATGGCAATAAAATTAGAAATGTGATTAACATACAAAATACGTAGTTCATAATCCATGGGACCATTTAAGATACTTCGGGTGGCCATGCCGCTTAAGGGCATTTTATTGCGAATTTTCTCGAAACTACTCTATCAGAGTGCATATTTTAGGTTCTATAATAATTTATGGTATTAAATTTGAGAAAAACTATCTAAGTAACTCTTATGAACAAATAAATATCATAAGCATATCCGGTCATTTTAGCCGTTTAGCGTTTTATGGCTTTTTCAATATTTTTGAAAATTACAGAACAAAAAGTCCTGATGGTAATGTCAAAAGCAATGGTTTAAAAATGTTCAATATTTTTCCGATGATCTAGTGTAGCTACACTGAAACTGAAAATCAATCCTTGGAATTTGGAAACCAATGGTTGAACTTTTTACATTATTATTTCTCATTTCCATCTATCATTTTGTGAACATGTATTTCATTGGGATTAATTGGAATAACGAACAAATCAATGAAAATACTAGTTGAATGTGGCACATTTACTGTTCTAAATGCGGATCTTCCACCACGACAACTGGTGCAGTCACGTTTTGAGGCATTTTCTGGTAGTTGCTTAAAACTAAATTACTATTAGATTGGAGGTTGGAATGAGCTTTCAAATGATGTATGTACTACTAACACTCCTCGCACCATGGCCTTATATACAAGTTTGACTTTCTCGAACAGTTTTTTTTGTAAAATTTGATTTGTCGATTTTTAGTGTTCGTAACAAGAACGGGAAAGTAGCATCAGTAAAAGCTTGCGTAATCGAATTTAAAAACACTACATAACTGTTCTGTTCCTAATTAGGCACGTGTGACTGTTGAATGCCCCCCCTAATTCTTACCATTACCGTAATTTACTATGAAGGCCTTTAATTGGTGGTTTATACACTTGCATTTCCAACAAATTTAGCGGCGATGCTAAATTCAGGCCAATCTTGCTCTATACATTTTCAACTTTTGTGGCGCTGCTGATCCGCGCACTTGCTCGTAAATTACATCGATTTCGTGCGATTAGATTTGAAAGATCAGATAAACTTCCGCATTAACCAAATGATACCGAATGACAATAAATTTAGTGGGTACCTAATTGCCGATAAATTCAATTTATTAGTAGATAGTTGATGTTTGTAACCTTTTTATTTCTACTGCAACATGGCGTTCACAATATTACCATTAAAAAACAGAACAGACAATAAAGACTCGATTTTATTTGTCGATATAAATTAAAACACCACGATCGTGAGCATTCCGCGTTAATCACAGAAAATTATTACAGTTGGCTTAACGATAAAGTTTTTTTTTAGTTGCAATCAAGTTATAAATTAGTTTTATGTTGAACATTTCACGTCAAGTGCAGGGCGAGCTATAATTTTCTAGAAAAATGCGATTTAGCTTTTAGGAGAAACTTTTCCCTAATTAATGCGGTTATCAATGTTTACAATTACGTCGCGCAACGTTGGGAATGCACTAGAGGGATTATAAAATTGAGGCGGACAGCGGACAGTGGATTTGCGATCTAATTATAAAGTTACCCCGACAGTTCCATCCCTAAAGCTTTAAGCTTTAATGGAGTACATGACGTAAGGCATTTTTGCACTTCTAAAGCCTTTGAGCAAAGGATAATTTTGTATTAGATACTTCGCGTTGGAAAGGGGCACTTGAATTCGCATTTGAGTTAGCTAGAGATAATCGCGTAATTCATTTAACTGATGTGAGATACGTGTACGGTGGCAAATCTATTCGGTGTTAAGCTAATTACGAGTTGTCGCTCATTAACTTAACTTTACTCGAGTGTTAATTATGTTATGCGAGATGAGTGGGTTACCCCTTCACATTGTATCGGTGTTGTATCAGTATGTGTCATACTCATTTATCATTATTTTGTCTTACCGTTAGTTAAACAGAGGCGCTGCTGAGTATCTCCGTGGTACGCGACGTCGTTACGAACCCCTTCTGTGCAGCTGTTACATGAAGTTGCGCTACTAGAAGATGTCATACCGCCCGTTCTACCGTGCCGGCCTCTACCACTTCGGTTTATCGTATTTGCAATACCCTTTTTGTTACTCGAATATATAACTTCACCTGGAATTGCGGACTGTACTTGGACAACTTGCATAAATAAAGCTGATATACGTACCATTATTCCCACGCAAGCGGTCTTGAGGGGTTGCATAGTGCATTCGTCGCGTGTTCGTATTTTCTAAGGGAAACGGTGATGCTTGTCTATGATGGGGAAGTGGTGACCTAGGCGACACTAATGTAGGTGGAGGTGTGGGAAAGGGGGTGGTTGGATTATCCGTTGTCATTGCATCCTCCGTATCATCCGAACGATAAGACCGATCGACACCTGAAAGGAATTTAAAAATTAGAACTTTATGCAAACTACATTTGCACTATTAGCTCTTTTGCTCTTGTTGTCAAACTTCTTGCTCTGCACTCCTCTATTGTGACCAATGAGTATATCCTCGAGCTATGTTAACAGTCTCACAGCGACACACCGACAAGCACTTGAAGTACCAGTTCAGACTAACACTCTCAAAAAAGCATCAAAATAAAATTATCGAAAAACTACAGTGTAACGACAGGTACAGGGTAAAAACGAAGGTACTGAATTAGCACTTAATTCCCTTTGGAGCTCTTAAATTTTGCTCATGTTTGTTGAGCGGGGAGGAGCAACAACATGTTTAAATGAATCCATTAAATCAGCATGTGATTATATACTCAAACCCTTCGTACGAGTAAATGGTGCAAGAGGGCAAGACGACGAGGCATTAAGTTGGCATACATCATGCCAATATTACTTATGTGCAAAGGCAAACGGTCACTAAACCATCACCTGCCCAACTAGCTCAATTAAACACAAGTACTAACATAACTTTTTATACCAATTGATTATAATTTTTCTAGAATACCTCCAGCAGCCGCTAGTCGGAAAAATGCAATGGAACTTTAATTTTATTAATTTGAGCAAGCTCAGAAACCTTGATTAATATCGCAATTCAGATTTCAGTTCCGACACATTTTTAGTTATATCGAATGTTGATGCACAGGGGCGGCAATCAGTGCGTTTGGGTTCCGATATAACCACTTCCGTAACATGCCTAATTTAAATACCTGGCATAACCAACAGAGAAATTGGCATGAATACTTTTATCAAGGTCTTATTTTGAGCTCGATTAAACATAAATGTAATAATTTACAGATGAAACAAATTTATTCGGCATAAATCAATCAATAATAAATCTGAATAAATAATAGCGCTCAGGGCCCGCAGACAAATACCACGCACAAGCGATCGATTGAACATATTAATTTAAAAAAATCTTAATTACCTTAAAATGCTAATCCTTCAAATCGGGTTATCACTACTATTCTCTTTAAACAGACGCACAAACACAAAACACCTAAACCGTATCTATCTACGAGTACACGTAATTCATCTTAAAATAAATTAAACAAAATATACAAAACGATTATTTAAACAAAATCAACATCGAATCAATCTGATACAAAACACAATGACCGCAGATTCAAATAACATGGCCGACATTGTGTGGATTCAACATTACTGTAGAGTGTTATAGATACTGAAAGTTTTATTGGTTTTAAAGCCGAATCTCTAAAATTATTTTTTTTACAGTTTGCCAGATTAAAAGCATTAATTAGGTACTAATTGTAATAACAACAACCGGGAAAGTGTGAGTGAATAGGCACAGGCTTTAGTTCGTACTAATTCTGCTATTGGTCGATTGCTACTTTAAAATAAATCAGAGTTTCCATTATGATCTGTAGACTAGCTTGACGTTACATATAAATATTTCAGATAGCAGTTGTGTAGTCAGAGGTCAGAGGGCGAAGGTAACAAAATTTTATTTCGAGTTTGACATGCTAAAATAACCAGAAAAAGAAATAATAAGAGTGAAGTGGTATACCAAAATGAGTAGGAGAGAGATTAAGAAATGTACGTGACATATTTGCGACATCTCGGAGGAGTAAATTTAATTTTTCGTTTTTGTGTTGATTAAAGTTTCATTTATTTTAACTTTTGCACGTTTGTTAACGTTTAATTTGGAGATTACAACAAAATAAGTGTTAAATTCAAATTGGAATAAAATTGGTTAATGTAAGTGACCTAAAATCTGTAACGCACTGATCTGGTTAATTAAAAACGACGCATAAATAAATTGTACGTATATGTCTATATACTGGGTATCACAGAACGTCATAACTGCGATCCGTTCTCCGATTATTATTACTCCCGCCCTCAAAACTTAAGGTGGAAGCGTGTTGAAGATTATTATTTCATAAATTGGCGAAGGGAAAATACGAATTAGTATTAGCTAATTTGAGATTATAAGTAATTTTTGACGTAATTACATTTTCTAAAATTGTTACATAGTGAAGCAAAGGAGCAACGGGCACAATTTCTCGGAAGAGCATTGAAGCATCATCCCCTATGAAATTACCTGATTAAATTTTCATATTCAATCTTGAGTTGTTTACCCTCGGGAAGCAGTCGCGAGCGTATTTTGAAACCTTAATTGTACCATGAAGCCTACAGGTATCTCTACTTTCTCTTATAGCAATATCCAACAAGAATCGACCAATCGCGTTGGAAGTATATTTATAACTGCAATAATACCGACTTTTCTCATAAGGTTGCTTTAATATTGTTGAACGTATCTTCCATTCTAGTGGATTAAGCAAAGATGTGTTTCATATGGCACACATTAAGCCTACCAATATGTGGCGTCGTATTTGGATTACACCTCTGTATCTGTTTATAAATAATCCGCCCGTCGGCGCATCCCGAATTAAAATTCCCCGGAAGTTGGGGAAAACAAAACGCACTTACTGCTTAACGGTTCTAATGTCAAGATCACTTCACACGCAATTTATTAGAAAACTTTCCGAGCCTCTCCGGTTTTTTAATGAAAACAAATTAAATCTCATAAATAATTTGTTTTTCTATTTATATTTGAGTACTCGTTAATTGAATTTACATTAGCCGCTTTCTTTCCTGCAAAAATTATTTATTAAAGCCACTTTTCATTCGGTGAGGCTATTTAATTACTAAAGAAACGTGTATGAATAAATCTAATTGAATGTATTTTGGCGTGAGGTGGTAAAATTTTACTTCGGCATGCATGGTACACCGCGTTATTCCTTATTCAGGAGCCGCCGCTATCCGAGAGTTAGATTAGATTTAACAAGATTTGGTCCACATCCAACTTACAGAAGACGCGTAAAAGCTCAAGTTTTAGAGAACACTTCCAAGAGCATCGTAACGTACGTGTGCGGTATTCGTATCGTTGTATCGTGAAACGTGAGAACCGCGGATCTTTAATTGTTAGGGAAGCCGTCGTGTCTTTGATTACGAAATTCCGCCAAAGTTATGCTTCCAGAAATTTGTGTTATCCAAAATTCTCCTCATTAATTATAAGAAAAGTGTACTCAAAACTTATAATGCGGCTTAGATGAGGTTTACTGCTTCGATTGCCTTGGGCTACAGATAAATACACAGGAATTCATCTCCTCTAACGTATTATACTTGCGGAATTATGTTGAAAAAACAGAGTAAGTTCTTCCGGCCATTTATTTTGCGAATTTAAGGCGCTCGTAAAATTTTTGGATAGGTAAGGAAATTAATGCGAACTGAGAGCTTTTATATTATTTGTTGAGCCTGAGATTTAGTGACTCTTTATAGCAGGTTGTTGCTTTATAAAGATTACTGTTTCGGAATAAAAACGGAAAAATAACGCGTCTTCCAGTTGTTCATTTAAAGTAAGGGCAGAGCGAAGGAGGGGGGGGTTGGATGCTCACGTTTAAAATACAAATAGCGAAAGCACACATACTCCAAGGCGTCGCGGTGGCATGCCGCAGGTGCTTGGTCGTCATTCACCTTTGACTTTACCCATAGAACGTTTTATTACGTTGGCTCAGAATCCGACGTTTAATTTTCTTTTGGTCTCTTGTGGCTTGTGAGTTTCGCCATGAATGGAAATTGCCCCCTACTTTGCTTGGTTATTGTTTTCGTAGTAGCTGAACTGACGAGATTACGCACCTTTTTCGATCCATACGTCAGGCGATAAAATTATAGCGCGGTTATTAATTTTAATCCCGAAGAACCTTCTTCACTTTTACTGCTACGTAAATGCCGAAGTGTACGGATATGAAAAAAATAATATATATACAAGACACTAATCCCTTAAGTATAACACGCTTTTAGTGTACGCCACTGCCGTTCCTCTAATCATAAAGAACAGTTACGCAGCCTTTTACTACTATGAGGCTGGGCGGTTTACTCCAAAATTTTATGGGATTTCGTGGCCGTTTCTGTTACATTTATTATGAGTTATTGCCTTATAGACTACTATATATGCTATTGGGCATCTTGGCGAGAGTAGTGCTTTGGAAAATACCGATAAATGTTTAAACTTGGTTTTACTATTGCCAATAAATGGTTATTGTCCCCTTCTAGAGGTCACAATAACGCATTTTGCAAGAACTTTATTGATTGCGAATATATTACCCTATAGTGA